CATGAAGTGGCACAGAATCTTCTGTGTCAGGTTTATATAGTTTCTGAACTTCATCTACAATTAAGATGGTTTCAATGCGTGAAGATTCAGAGACAAATTGGCGCCAACCGATGTTCCCCATAAGCCATCGAAACCGATCTGAAAAGGTCCATTCTGGATTGTCGGCCTCCATCCACAACAGAGATATACGAAAAACCCTCGTTCCAGGGTGTTCTTCCAACAGATGCTTCTCAAAAAGTTGTGCGAGTGATGTTTTACCCGCCATTGGTGGAGATCGTATTAAAAGAACGCGCATCTTGGTTAGATGATTTAACAATTTTTTTATTGTCGGAATTCTCTTACAAATCATGGGATCGGATAGGTTTACACCCTCATAACCATGGCCTTGCTCGTCTCCTTGATACATTGTTCCACCCATTCCCCCTAAATTAATTAATAGATAAAACATAAGTTACTATTAACACCTTTGTAAACAGCGCCAAGCTCGTCACTACCCCTCCTATCAGACCACTTATGATACAAGAACAAAATGCATGAATACACAAGACGAAATGTAACTCCATACCTAGTCTTCCTCGAGGTCCTGTAGTAGCAAAATTTTATATGAAGGACCAGCGAGCAGAAAGTGCAAAAAGTTATTTAGTTAGTCACAGATAGTTTGCCGACATTCCTCGAGTGAAATACGACAAGGAGACCGAACATATAGAATGCACGCGACAACAGTATTCGAACTGTTCTCTCTTCATTGAGTTTACGTATATTCTAGCTCTGCACAAAACCAGTAACAGTATTCAAACGTTGTTCCTCTATCGTTGCTTGCTTACTTACCGAATGTCTTGATGTATTTATCATATGCGTCCTCTGTTTCCTCATAGGTTGCATTGGGATTGTTTTCTTTGTATCTCCAAAAGAACTCGCGTTCACTCATTACTTTTGCGTTCACTTCCATTTGGTATGTGATAAAAGAAGAGTCGCGATCTGACACTGCGCCGCCCAACTCAGCCCTGTTTATACGTTTTACTTACACAAACATGTGATACTTTTCCGTATTGAAGCGCCGAATCAACTGTATCCGTTGGGTCCAGCACACTTAGCAAAATAGATCGGGAACCTCCATGCTTTTGTCAGAGAAGAATGAAGACAAAGGGAAAAATCTCTTTTATACGTTTCTTTGCATATCACGTTATAATGTTTCGTATTATTGTATTATGGCTCATTACGGTATCTGTGTTACGCTTTTATCACCACCTAACGTTCACAGGCGCAGTAAGCACATGACTATGACAAAATACTAATCTCCGCTGATACAACTCGACATAGACAATGCTGTAAATGTTCTAATTCGAATAATCATGTTCTCACCCTTATCTTTAAAAATGTTATTAAGAAGAGCAAATATCTTTCTTACCTTTTACGTAGAGTGTCGTTGGAGATTTTATCACCAATTTGTTTTGAACTTCCTCATTAACTAATGTTTTGGGCTATGGTCTATATCTTAATCTAGACTTTTATAATAATTTAAGCGCTGCGATAAAATATCCCCAAAGCAGTAATAGCATCGAATAACTTCTTGGTTTGTGCTTTCGTTTCGGGTTTCTGCATGAGTATTATTATCGATTCTAGGTATACTCACTTTGTTAGATTATATACTATGCAAAATATTCTTTCAATTCAAAAATAATTATCGTTGAGCGGCTTTTTTACAGCAAAAATTCCAAATGTCGCGAGAAAAATGGAAGGCCAATATTGTCTTTGAATTTCGGGATAATACAGACTACTGGAAAAAAGAACGTAAAAGTATGAACGAGGATGATTTCTTAAAACAGAAGCGGGAATATGAAGCCCGCCTTGGTATTCCTACTACTCCATATAAAAAAAAATTACGTAAATTTTCTTTGATATCTATTGAATACGTATAATGGTTTTAATTCGAATAGAAAGTGTAAATTTTGGCGGTACCGCGGCGACTGAAGATTGTGGTTCAGCGAATTATTTATCCAGGTAATAAGCAAGGGAATTGTTACTATCCCTTACAATAAATATACAGAAAGCTTCAAATTGAAAAATAATTTTTTAATACTTAAATCATATATGAGGGTTTTTGCATTATAGTCTCATCTTACATGCGTGTTTGCTTTGCAATAAAACATCCTTTGGAACTATCTGCAAAGTATTTTTTATTGCACAGGGTGCGTGTGGTACCATTTCGCTTTGTGCGATATCTAAAAGGTATTCGATCCAGCTAAAAACGTTAAAAGTGCCCAAATTTTTTTCTCACATAATTTTTATCGATACTCTAAAAAGCATTCAATCCAGCTAAAACGTGCCGATTGCTGTCCCCAAAGTTTTTTTTTCGCACTAAGAAATTATTTTATTATTTACCATATCATCCATTCAAACCTAGACTATCCTTTTCATAATATAATCAGAAAATTTTTTTATCTTCAAATATTAATATACCACGTAAAGCTAAATAAAATATGGATATTGATGAGCCGAAGACTCGAAGCTTTGCTTCTTTGGCATTTCGGTTATCAGCTATCAGTTATGCGCAAAGCGTTTTGCAGAGCAAGAAGCTCTCGAGTATAAGCTATTAATTGCTAGCTATCGGTAATTAATATCTAATTGTATCGTAAGCCTGGTCTACAGTTTCCCGAAATGCTATAAAAATATCTGAACCCCCAGCTTAGCTCAATTGATTCAGATTGTATGCGCTTATTCCTACAGCAGTCATGTTAACAATAATATGGGGCGTGCTGCAACAAAACCAGACAAAGTGAACATGAAGCTCCGATGGACATAAGCAACCGTAGCAGTCCTTTATATTTATACTGTAAATCTTTTGCTATAAACAATAATAATATGTCGCGGATATAAAGTTGTGATGCAGAGCCCGGCCAACTAGAATATCTCACATGGCATGGCAAGGAGAGGCAAGTATGTTATATATTATTATGGAGAAATCGGCTCTTGCCAGTACCGGACCGTAGGCAAACGGTGGAGGTTTCGAATTGCTGCAGACTCCATTTCTGCCATTCCATAAGTATCTTGGACACATTAAGCCGACTATTATAATCACGTATGACGAAAAACTCCAATCATTCTGGTTGCCACATATTAACCTCAGTTTAGGGCTTTGATGAGTAGAAATATGTTGAAAACACTGATTTTATCAGTAAAGATGCACAGAATCAAGCACTTTATTGCAAGGGTTAGCAAGAAGAATATCTGCAACGAGATGACATTATTTCTTTTCATATTCTATTTTGCATGGGCAATCTTCAGAGCTTGGCCGATTCTACTATTCAAATCCGCAACAGACATATTAATATGATATTCTGTAAGCCCTTCCTTCTCCAGATATTTTCCTCCATACCTGCTCTCCTGATACACTGCCTCTGTCGTCTCTATAAGGTGCCAATCCAATTCTTCCCAGATCCACAAAAATTGGATATGAACATTATCATTGTAACCTGGGAGCTGGTCAGGTCCCCAAGATTGCCAGCCATTTCTGAATATTGTAGCAGAGTCCCTGTGTTCATTTGCTATGGTAATCTGGATAGGTACCACATAGGCATCCTTTTCTTCCAATAACAAAATCAAGCTATCAATTGCCTTATAATTGAACTTGCTCAGTATATAGAGTGTACAGCTCTGCATTAAGTCAAAAATGGGGTGATCTGTATTGAAATACTTGATGTTTCCAGTACCAGGTACGTATCCCTGTACTACTCCATATTATTGAGTTTCAGAGACATTCTTCAATTGAAAGATTCAAGCAGGGTGGGATCTGCTTTTATTGCATCTCCAGGATTCTAGTCATAAAGTGGCTATTGCATCTATCAAGACCTTATTGGAAAAGAACTGGTTTGGATATGAAAACAATGTCAGGAAGCCACCATCTGGCTGGTGCTTAAATGCTTCGAACTGAGCTCAAATATTGCTACATATTTATTCAGGAACGATTAGCATCAAACTCATTACCAATTTCATAAAATATTGGCCTCAAGGTTTACTTTTAATAAATAATGTATCATATTTTCGTACATAGTCAAATGGGATATGAATGGTGTACTATCATGTGAAACAATGTTTCCACCATGAAGATCACAATGCACTAATCCTGTATCATGAATACCATCCAAATGACTTGCAATACTATACAAATAACCCAAACATTTGGCATAATTTCTGAACTATTAAATAAAAATAAATACAGTGTCAAATTAAATATCACTTTAATTAATACTACAATTATTGCTTACCTCAGAAATAAATAATTCCAGCACTTCATCAAAACTCTTAAACCATTTGAGTACAACAGTTTGTGGCATATTCTCTTCTCCTTTATATTTGGCAGTATAAACTGTTCTGTAACCACCAGATCCGATCTCCTTGAGTTCATAAAAGTCGCTATATACATATACTGCATGTACTTAACATAATTGTTACATTGTATAAAGTTGTCCAATATTGCATGTACGTCGTAGTAGAAAACTCCCGAGTAGATGGCTCCCGAGTGATTCCAATTATCCAAACATTATCTGGTGTTAATATCTCTGGGTATTCCTGAGTTAACTGTTTGAACAATAATCGATGTTAAACGCGCAATATGCACTTATCAATTGCATTTTACATGTGAAATAATTTACCTGATGAAAATCAAATAACTGATCATCCCCTTCATCAAATATCTTTTTGAGTGTCACACATGTCAATTCATATGTTGTCCATTCTGCTATATGTGTGCATCCAGGCGTAATGATGTCATCTGTTGTACGTTTGATAATAAAGAGTATTCTATCCATTGTATATACGCATCGGATTTGGTACTTGTATTAATTGTCTTTTTCCGCGGAGTTGTTTTTCGAAAATAAAAATTTCTTATTGTGGAAGCTGCAACAGCTTACGAATTTCAAACGCCATTTTGTTATATAAAAATGTTGGATCCAATTTAATTCTTTTGCTGTATAATCGTTTTAGATCGTTCCACAACTTTTCGATGTCTGGCGAGTAAAATTTGTTCGCTTTTGTAATGGATTGTAACTTCATCGTTTGAATTAGAGCTCCCGTATTATTAGGCCGACAGTTACGAAGTATGCCATGGCCGAGAGCAAAGCCAATAACTATTCCAAAAAAGAATTCGCTTGTAAATGTAAACATTCTTCGCAAAGAGTTTATTGATGGAAATTGTTAGATCTGGTTTTTTATCGTTTTAAACGATATTTGTATGAGTTGTGGTTGCTTTTTCTGAAAATAAGCGACTAGTGCTGTTTCTCTAAAAATATCTTGCAATGATGCTTAAATAGACGAAAAGCGTGTTTCTGCGCATCAATTATCATTGGTCACTCTGCATACAACAGAGCTGGAGAAGGAGCGACTGGAGTTGAAGGAAAAGGAGACATTCTGGATGGGAGAAATCGCCAAGGTGAACAGCGCGCTCACAGCAACAGGCACTCAGCCAGGTAACGACTTTTGTGACTCGGGCGTTGGGGACATAGAGTAGTGTGTATATGGGGTTCTCTTCATGTGCTTATTTATCTTTCCTCTTCTTTTTTCCAGTAACATTTAAGTCTATCGCAAGAGACGGTCTTCCCTTGCTTGGTGGGCCGGTTGGCCTTGAGAGTTCTTCATCGAAAAATGAATCACATGAAGAGGCAGACATTATAAACTCCAAGTTCTCACTCATTAATGATTTATCGCTTGCTAAAACGCCATCAACAATTTGGTTGACCTACAAAAACTCGGGGCATCTCAGTTATGCATCTGAGGCTGATATTGCCAATTATGTCAATATGGTTTTGCGAGACACAATACATGCTATGGGCAGAAGTGATGATATCATGCTGTATGCTGAAATGGGTTTCTGCAATCAAAGACCTGATATTTGGGTTATTTGTTGCAATGGCCTGCCTGTGGGCTTTATTGAAATCAAGAAGCCATCAGGTGCAATCATGGATGAGCCACTGCTGGCTGGTCAAGTATTCGATTATCTGATGTTACTGAAGTCCTTTTATGGGATTGAGTTTCAATTTGGGATCATTTCTACATATGAACTCTGGCGGGTTTTCTGGTTGCATAAAACTGATCCTGTGGCCCAAATGAACACTGTATCTAAACCACAAAGTGCCAATCCAGGTCAATCACCTCTTGTTATATGTCTTCCAGGGATTCCATGTTTTGATAAAAAAAATAAAACATCTATTCAAGTTATAGGGCAGCTCTCCCATGCACAGAAATCCAACCAAAAATGAGAAGTCTTTGCCAGTGATGTGTTCAGTTCTACTAATAAGAATCTCCCTAGGGCTATTGCCTCTATATTATCCAAGATGGCAGCTTCACCCAGGCAGAAGGTTAACTTAGCTGACTCTACTCGGTCTTACATCAAGATGACTGAAAACTCATGGAATTGGGTCACCCTTCCTACAAATCTACAAGTAATCAAGTTTGGCAATCTTCCTCAAAATGATACCAAGAACTTCATCTGTTTGTCTTATCTTGGAAGTGGTGCTGAAGGTCTAGTTTGGTTAGCAATGACGGAGCAAGGAACAGGCTGTGTAATTAAATTAGCCAAGTCTGTCAGGCCAATCTCATCTCGGAGTAATCAGCAAGAATTGACTACAGCCCAAACTCAAAGAAAGGATGCGGAAGCAGCAGAACATCAGATAGCAAGTGATCGCCTACAAACAGAGGCCAACCACTGGAAGATATTATGGGGAATTGATGCACAAGTCAAGGACATAGGAGGTCAACCTGCCCTTGTCATGTCCTACTTTAAAATTTGTGCACAAGATGAACTGGAAAATAATCCACAAATCAGAACTGCAGTAGTCAATGCTGTTCAACTGATGGCCAGCAAAGGGCTTAAACATAATGATCTCTCTTGCTGACATGTTGGGCTTTACCAGAAGAAGAAGAATGGCAAACTGCAAGCTGTCTTCATTGATCTCTCAAATGTTGTCAGGGAACAAGAGGTAGATGCCATTGCTGATATGATAATGATGGAAAAATTGAATCTTACAGGGTAATTTTTCTCTTATGTATTTTGCTCTCTGTAAATTACTCTGGGTTCTATTAAATTCTGTATGAATGAAACAGAAATATATATATATGTGAGTGTGAGTGTAAGTAAAACTTTTCAGATATGTGTGTCAAAGAAAAAAAAATAGATAAAGAGATATAGAAATAGAATATGTGTCTGAAAAGGCCATATAATGATAGTTACCAACCTTTTTCTCTTCGTTGTATTATAATAGAATATGACAGACAAAAATCCCCAACAGGAAATTAATGCATTGTATAAATAAACAAAACCATTGATGCATAAAATTAATATATAGGATTACCTGTATATGGAAAATTATAATTATAATGGTTCGACTGAATTTGAAAAAGCAATACGTTTCTTAGAGATAGGTTGCAATTGTGGTTGCTTGAAAATGATTCTGAGAGAAAAGTTTGCTGAATTACGTGAAGCGTTTCAAGCTCTCTCTAGATCTGAACAAGATATATTTTTAATGGCTCAACTGAAAGCAATGAATGGTGGGGAGATAAC